GATCTTTACTTATACGTTTTTAAACGTAATATTTTCACGTACATCGTCGTCTGAGGCTTATGTGTTGAGAACGCAGTTTGTATTTTAGTGATAACTGCCTATATTGTAGCTGCAGGCGATTCGGCAGCAAACCGTCTTGCGTTGATTTCTAAAATGGTATCCAGAGCTGACCCGACAGCTCAGTAAGCAATGGCAAACTACTGAACGTCTAAACTGACTGTTACATAAGTATCATCATTACGTGTCATGCTGTAAAGCTTGGACCATCAATATTTCAGACGAACCAACAGCAGTCACAGAAGGTGTACATGCATGTAGACAGAGAGAGAGAGACACACACACACATACACACACAGAGAGGCACACACACATAGACACACACACAGAGAGACACACACAGACACACACACACAGACAAACACAGAAATAGAGACACACTCACAGACACACACACACAGAGACACACAGAGAGAGAGAGACACACACACACATAGAGAGAGATACACACACAGACACAGAGAGAGACACACACACACAAAGAGAAACACACACACAGAGACACACACACACACACACATAGACAGACTCACACAGAGAGTCACAGAGAGAGAGAGACACACACGCACACAGACACTCACACACACACACAGAGACACACACACACAGAGACACACACAGAGACACACACAGAGACACTCACACACACATAGACAGACTCACACAGAGAGTCACAGAGAGAGAGACACACACGCACACAGACACTCACACACACACAGAGACACACACACAGAGAGACACACACAGAGACACACACACAGACACTCACACACAGAGAGAGAGACACACACACACACACACAGAGACATTCACACACACAGAGTCAGCCACAGTGAGGCACTTATTGTTGTATACCACTTGCGGCCAACCCACCCCCTGGAGACGGCCCGTTGTTGACTGACAACACGCAGAACGGGAAAAACCTGACACAATATTGACAACTGTCGTGCTTTGTTATTTGTCGTTAGATACCAGTCGATTGATGGATCAATTTGTCACACGCTGTTAGGCGCGTGAGGGCGGAACGCACACACTTTATCAATCCGAAACAATCTACCTTATCTTGGATTGATTGGTTCTACGCATACACAACCAGGTTGATAGACTTTGCGACCTTTCCGCTACAGAATATATAAACATTCAGACCACATGAGAATTAGGTGAAAATAAAACTAGAGTTTTTTTTAGTGAAGTCGTTAACGTCGAAATGTTGAAGTGCCAAATAGCAAACGATGGCTGGGGGGGGGGGGGGGGGGTAAGGAAAACTAAAAAGAAAGAGTAGGAGCAGGTGAAGATATAAAGGAAGGAATATAAGTGGGTAGGGGGTAGCATAAGTGGTTGTTGTTGCTGTAATAATAGTAGTAGTAGTAGCAACGGCATCAGTAGGAGGAGTAGTAGTAGCTACAGTAATCAAAGTAGCAGTAGCAGAAGCAGCAACAGCAGAAGTATCAGTAGAAGTAATAGTAGCCGACGAAACATCATAAAGAAGAGGAAGAAGAAATATAAGGAGGAGCAGCAGCAGAAGAAGAAGAAGAAGAAGAAGAAGAAGAAGAAGAAGAAGAAGAAGAAGAAGAAGAAGAAGAAGAAGAAGAAGAAGAAGAAGAAGAAGAAGAAGAAGAAAGAAGAAGAAGAAGAAGAAGAAGAAGAAGAAGAAGAAGAAGAAGAAGAAGAAGAAGAAGAAGAAGAAGAAGAAGAAGAAGAAGAAGAAGAAGAAGAAGAAGAAGAAGAAGAAGAAGAAGAAGAAGAAGAAGAAGAAGAAGAAGAAGAAGAAGAAGAAGAAGAAGAAGAAGAAGAAGAAGAAGAAGAAGAAGAAGAAGAAGAAGAAGAAGAAGAAGAAGAAGAAGAAGAAGAAGAGAAGAAGAAGAAGAAGAGAAGAAGAAGAAGAAGAAGAAGAAGAAGAGAAGAAGAAGAAGAAGAAGAAGAAGAAGAAGAAGAAGAAGAAGAAGAAGAAGAAGAAGAAGAAGAAGAAGAAGAAGAAGAAGAAGAAGAAGAAGAAGAAGAAGAAGAAGAAGAAGAAGAAGAAGAAGAAGAAGAAGAAGAAGAAGAAGAAGAAGAAGAAGAAGAAGAAGAAGAAGAAGAAGAAGAAGAAGAAGAAGAAGAAGAAGAAGAAGAAGAAGAAGAAGAAGAAGAAGAAGAAGAAGAAGAAGAAGAAGAAGAAGAAGAAGAAGAAGAAGAAGAAGAAGAAGAAGAAGAAGAAGAAGAAGAAGAAGAAGAAGAAAGAAGAAGAAGAAGAAGAAGAAGAAGAAGAAGAAGAAGAAGAAGAAGAAGAAGAAGAAGAAGAAGAAGAAAGAAGAAGAAGAAGAAGAAGAAGAAGAAGAAGAAGAAGAAGAAGAAGAAGAAGAAGAAGAAGAAGAAGAAGAAGAAGAAGAAGAAGAAGAAGAAGAAGAAGAAGAAGAAGAAGAAGAAGAAGAAGAAGAAGAAGAAGAAGAAGAAGAAGAAGAAGAAGAAGAAAGAAGAAGAAAGAAGAAGAAGAAGAAGAAGAAGAAGAAGAAGAAGAAGAAGAAGAAGAAGAGAAGAAGAAGAAGAAGAAGAAGAAGAAAGAAGAAGAAGAAGAAGAAGAAGAAGAAGAAGAAGAAGAAGAAGAAGAAGAAGAAGAAGAAGAAGAAGAAGAAGAAGAAGAAGAAGAAGAAGAAGAAGAAGAAGAAGAAGAGCAAAAACAACAACAACAACAGCAATACAACAACTAGAAAAAGAAAAAAAAAGTAGCAGCAGCTGTAATAGTAGTAGTAATTAGTAGTAGTTGTAGTTGCAGCAGTAGTAGTAGTGCCAACTGGGAGACGATGGTAGGGGGAAAGGAAAACTAATCTAAAAGGAGAAGGAGCAGGTGGAAATTTAGAGCAGATGATGATGATTATGATATTCCCAGTCAGCAAGATGGGTAATAGTGGTAGTAGCAGTAGCAGGAGCAGGAGCAGCAGCAGTGGTAGTATTGGTAATGGTAGCTGTAGTAGTAGTAGTAGTAGTAATAACAGCAGCAGCAGCAGCAGCAGTAATAGTAGTAGTAGTAGTAGTAGTAGTAGTAGTAGTAGTAGTAGTAGTAGTAGTAGTAGTAGTAGTAGTAGTAGTAGTAGTAGTAGTAGTAGTAGTAGTAGTAGTAGTAGTGATTGGCATTCATAGAAAGAAGTAGATAGACATAACTTTAGTAGTAGCACTAGCAATAACAGTATAAAAGTTGATGTTGTGTTGTTTATGTTGTTGTAGCAGCAGCAATAGTAGTAGCAAAAGGAGGCGACGAAGAATAAGGAGGAGAAGAGGCGAAGAAGAAGAGGAATTTGTCATTCAAGATATGACTCACTCTTATATGATTAATAAACAGACACATTTTAAATTGAACAAAGTCTGCACGCGCCAGAGGTGAAAATAATAACCTTCGACTCAAAGCTTACTAGACTATGCACACGAGCTTAGTTGCGTATCCTTTACAGGACGTTGCAGAACCAACCCCAACAGCCCCTGGCTGTTGTTAGGTTTTCATTAGGCAAATTTACGCCCAGTAATTTGTCACTGCTTTCTGCACTGTCGGCTTTCTTGATACCTCTATCGAAACCAACCCGCAGCTGGGATCGAACCCGGCATCCCGGCATTACGAAGAGTTCGCATCGACTTAGCCCTATCCACACTAGAGTAACATTATTTTGCGACACAGAAATTCAGTCAATTAGATAACCAAATGTGTAAGAGGCTTTGTCAGACTTTTAAACAGTTTAATACAGTAGCTAATATGGAAGCAAGGTTAACAATTGAAATACGCAATCAAATTGTTATAAAATGTTTAAGCACTGGGTTGTGTACAGTCAAATTGAGAAAGCCTAAAAACAATATAACTAGACTGCCTTTTGACTGGAACCCATAGGGGCATAGAAGAATAAAAACAAAACATGCAGAAGGGAGCTATGAAGTTAGAAAGATAAGGAAGACACAGGGAGAGCGCCATGCGATAGCAAAGGATAGAACAACTTGGCATGCGTTTGTTGAGGGCCTATGTTCCATTAAGGGGTTAGACAGGAAAAAGAAAAAGAAGAACTAGACAGCGGCGTTTGCGCCTCCATTATTCTGTTCAACCCTTTCCGTTCGCTCGACACAACTTAACACTGTAGCCGACACAGTGTGTCACGTGATATAGCTTTGAAAGCTCTGCTCCAAACTCTTCCGCACTCTTCCCCTTTTATTTATATTGTATAAACTAGTATAGTAATGCCGATTCGCAATCATGCATGTCCTACAGAGAATTGGCATGAGATTGTCTCCCACACAGCATAGAAACCCTAAGTAAGGTAAGTAAAGTAAAGTAAAGTAAACGACCCTTTTTCACGCATTTCAGGCGTACTAGGTATTTAGGGCTAAACCTTTATTTTATAGACAAACGGCACAAGATGGGCAATGTGGTCAGCATTACGCCAGCCGCCTTTACTTCCCAGGACTGCACCCGGTATCCACTAAAGGCTGGGTCGACCTGGGAGACAAGGTTATTTTTGAAAAAAAGTCTGGCTCCGCTAAGGAGCGAACCCACGACCTTCCGATCCGCAGACGAGCGTCTAGCCACTACGCCACGACGACTCCCACAGAAACCCTATAGGTGGGAAAAAAATTGTAAAACAAAACATGAAAAACTAAAATGGATTTAACAGGAACTGGTTAAGCGACCATGTTCGAATGGGGGTATGTTGTTTTAGTATCCAGAAGCCATGAGTTGTTAACCCTTAGGCTCGGTATTATGGATATCGCAACCTTTCGGCCTTGATTCCATTGTAAATACCGTAAATATGGGAGAAAATGTGGCTTTTCTGCCTACCCCCGGGAGTGAACCCGGACCACAAGCAGTTCGTCATCCGCTCACCGCGCAATCCGGTTTAGCCAACTACGCTAGAGAGCCGGGCTTTCGAGTGAGGGTATAAAGCTAGGAGTAGAAGAAGAACGGTCATTGTATTAATACTTACATCCTTATATTCTTCATTTAGCGCCGTGTCATTCAAAATGTAATCCGGATATCCTATTTTCTCTGTGATAGCTTCAGCCTTAAAAAAAAAAAAAATGTGCAACATGTTAGCATACGGACGCCTAGTGATAGAATATGTTGCTCTAAAATCATATTATGATGTAGATTACATTACCAAACAAACATCTGATGGGGAAGAAAATATTAACACACACATGTCCAATGATGTAGAAAACATTACCTTAACAAATCTAGGGATGTTGAATATATTACCATACGATTATCTGATGATGTAGAATACGTTAGCGTAGAAATATTTCATGATGCAGAATACATTACCATACACATATTGAATAATGTTGAATATATTACCCTACAGAAATCTACCGATGTAGAATCATTACCATACAAATATGAATCGATATTGAATACACTAAAATACAAACATCTAATGACACAGAATACGCTGTTATACTACTACCACCACTACTACTACTATTATTACTATTACTACTACTGCTGCTACTACTACTGCTACAACAACAACACTTACTACTACTACTACTACTACTACTACTACTACTACTACTACTACTACTACTACTACTACTACTAATACTACTGCTGCTGCTGCTGCTGCTGCTGCTGCTACTACTACTACTACTACTTCTACTACTACTACTAATACGTCTACTAATATTTTTTCTTCTGCTTCTTTATCTTCTTCTCCTCTTTTCCTTTTCTTTCCTTTCCTCTTTCTCTTTTTCTTATTCCTCCTCATCCTCTTCCTGTTCTTGTTCTTCTTAAGGTTTTTGTTTATTTCAGGATTTTCCAATGAAGTGAAGACTTACATATTATCAGTGGTGTGCAGCTAGGCCACGATATCTGTGCCTATTTGTCAAAAACAACCGCTTTCAGCAAACCCTTAAATATTTACCTTTTTACAAAATGCATGTCAAGGTCGCATGTCCCCCCTCCCTCCCTCCCCCACCCCCCCCCCGGTCTCCCCATTGAGTCTCATAAACTCATACAGTATTATAAGGTTAGCTGGGTATCCTTTACAGGATGTTGCAGAACCAACCCCAACAGCCGCTGTTGTGTGGTTTTTCTAGGCAAATTTACGTTTAGCAGTTTGCCATTGCTTCCTGGACGGTCGGCTTTCTTGATACCACTGTCGAAACCAACGCAAGGCACATTGACCGCAGCTGGGATCGAACCCGGCATCCCGGCATTACGAAGCGTTCGCATCGACTTAGCCACAGAGTCGATACAGTATTATTAAGTTAAAACAAATTATGCAGTGGTCACCTGACGAATTGCAGTGAAGTATGCCAGGCAATAAATTATGTAACATATTTATTGTTCGGAACCTCATAATTCTAGTTACTTATTAACACAGAGAAATCATTGTTCAATTACTTTTTTTTAAATACAAGGGCTATTCCAATGTCCAGTGTCCAAAGTCCAGTGTCCTAAGTCCAGTGTCCAAAGTCCAGTGTCCAATGTCGAGTTGGTCTTTCATCCAGATTGATTTTGTTTTAAATTTCAGCGATGAACCCTTCAGGGAGTTACCAGAAGGGGACAAACCAATCGAACCTTCAGGGAGCAGCCAGAAGGGGACAAACTAATCGATCAATCGATTACTTACTTTTTCCTTTGCGACTTTTTTAGTGGGTTCGTCCATCCAGTCTGTCTCGTTTAGAATCTCATAGAAAACACGTCGGATGTCGTGAATCATCTCTAGGGCCTGGTAGAGGACAGAGCAACAGTTATAATTTCTATGAGGGAGAAAAAAGGGGGAGTACGGGCGACAGAGGGGGAGAAATTGGGAATGATGTCTTACCTGTGTGAGAGACAGCAAAAGAGGTGTGATTGCAGAGACGGGGAGAGAGAGAGAGAGAGAGAGAGAGAGAGAGAGAGAGAGAGAGGTCTGGTGTATATGTGTGTGACAACGAGAGAGAAAGCTGATGTGTGTGTGTTTGTGAGACAGAGATAGAAAGAAGTAGAGAGAAAGAGAGAGAGAGAGAGAGAGAGAGAGAGAGAGAGAGAGAGAGAGAGAGAGAGAGAGAGAGAGGGTTAAGATAAAACTGACAGTATGTTAATAATTTCATAGTACTTGGAAGTTGAAGACAATAATGAATTCAGCCAGCCGATTCTGTGCATGTAATTAATTGTAAATTAGCCTAACGAGATCCAGAGAAACTCAGCCAGGAAAATAAGTAAAGTATTCTTCTTCTTCTTCTTTTTAATAATCTTTTTTGGCCTTCACCGGCTTTGAATTCCAGCGGAAAGTCCATGTTGTTCGTCCATCTGAACTTTGGCTTTATAGCAGGACATGAATTTTGTGGTGTTCGTTCTTTTTACTGGCTTATTTGTATGCAGTTCTGGTTCCCTGCCTCTTGGGTAGATGTATTTCCATTTCGAAGAAAGTAAAGGGTTCGATTCCATGTCTTGAGGCAGATATAGAAGAAGGTGTTAGCCTTAAATGTTTATACAAAATATCTTTGTGTTAATTCTAGGGCGTCATTTAGGGGTTGAACGGGCAGATCACAGGCTTTAAAAAAAAAAAAAAAACTTCTAATGGTGAACTGCAAAATGGGAAACGTTCCTAAGGCGGGCAAAAGAAACGCTTTCAGGAAACCTTGAAGCTTTCACTCAAAGCACTAGGGATGCATGACACCAAGTGGGAGGCTGCCTCTCAAGACAGAAATGCATGGCGTGCAACTCTACACAAGTGCTCGGCTACATCTGAGGCAAACAGAACAGCAAGACTGATTAAGAAAAGAATGGACGGAAAGGCGACTGCAGGAGATCCCCTCCCTGGCACAACGCTCATTCCCTGTCCTCACTGTCCAAGAACTTTTCGGGCCCGCATCGGCCTCATCAGTCATCTTCGTATTCATACTTGATGAAAAGAGTGGGCATCATAATCTTGACGGACAACACACAAATGGGGAGAGAACAGACACAAAGCCACTCCCCTAACAATTATGCCGTAAAAGGCCATCAGTTAGGGTGGAAGGTTACCTTCGAAGTCGAAATGTATGTGTCTGGACGGCGAGAAACCAATTATGTACACACTAGGTTAAGGTTTGAACAACGGATCAACATCATGGCACACGGGTAGTAACCAATAAGTGTTCCGTTCTACTTCCAACCAAAGTCTGAAGAAGCTCAGCACAGTGCACAAGCTCTATAGCACCGGTGAGGATCTTGAAATACTTTGGATAGGTTTTTTAACTCCAACTTTTGCCCTGGCAGCGCCGTTAGGCTACTCTTTTCGATTTCCAACTGCCAAGTGTTTTTTTTTTTTTTTTTTTTTTTTTTTTTTTTTTTTTTTTACATGCGCAACAATGCACACGGGAGTCCGATCTCACTACCCAGAGACCAGGGGGAATTACTACAAGAACCATGTGAAAAAAAAAATAATCCCAGCCCTTAAAGGGAATTGAACCCAGAACCTCTAGCACTCGAGGCGGGCACATTGCGAGACCATGCAGCTCCCTAACTACACAAAAATAAGCCAGATATGTAAAACGGATGTGGGCAATCGGTTCTCTTCGAACTGCACTTCTGCATAGGAAAATATAAATTAGAAGGCAATAAAAGAGATTCATTTGATCATCATCATCATCATCATCCCGCAACACTGCGTGTCGTTGGGTCACCAGTTTCTGTTGACTGTCTGATCAGCACCCTCCACCTTTGGCGGTCAGTTGCGATGGACTTCATGGTTGCATGCCGAGGCCTGTCCAGTCAGTCAGGTTCTGTAACCAGGTCTTTCTTGGTCTGCCTCTTCTCCTCTTCCCCACTACTGAGCTCTGCAGTGTTGTGTTGGAGATGTTGCTAGATCTTATTACATGTCCATACCATTGCATTTTTCGCCTTTTCACTGTAGTTAAAAGAGGTTTATTGTTGCCAATGTGCAGTATAATTTCATGGCGAACCTCTTCGTTTGTAATGTGGTCTCTATATGATATGCCAAGAATTTTTCTGAAACATCGCATTTCTAATGCTTTAATTATTGAAAAGCGTATTGGTTTTTTCCCCCCTTAATAATCAGATCAAAGTGTTTCACTTACCCTTTCCTTGGAGTCTTCGTCGAAATATGCCTGCACGAAAAGTCTTCCTACAGCATTGCCCATTTGGTCGTTGGCGTAACTCACACACTCGTACCATCGCTCGGGCTCGGCATGTGAACCAAAGATTGTCTGATATAAAAAATATAACCACCAGATCATGTGGGTGTAGAGAGAGAGAGAGAGAGAGAGAGAGAGAGAGAGAGAGGGAGAGAGAGAAGGAGAGAGAGGGAGAGAGAGAGGGAGAGAGAGAGGGAGAGAGAGAGTTGTTCAGCGATGTGTGGCCACAAGGGTTCCGGCCGACACTCCGCACTCAGAGGAGGGGCAAGACGGACTGGGTTCACATCTACATCAAGCCTGGATTTTTCCATGAAATGGCCTTTGCTTTGAGGTCAACCCAGCTAAACGAGTAAACGTCGTGTGATGTGACCACATCATTACCGTCTATAAAATACAGGTCTAACCCTATATGCCCAGTGTGGAAAAGGCACTCTCCTGAACCGTGAAAGTTCAATAAAAGGCTGAAAAATAGACGTCCACATGCTCAACCCACCCACATTGGAATACAGGTTACTTCCAAAGCGTTGTGTGGTGAGCCACTATAACTGTGCTGTTTGACTATACTAGGAGCCATTGTGGTGTTTGACTATACTGGAAGCCACTGAGGTGTTTAACTATACTGGGAGCCACTGAGGTGTTTGACTATACTGGGAGCCACTGAGGTGTTTGACTATACTGGGAGCCACTGAGGTGTTTGACTATACTGGGAGCCACTGAGGTGTTTGACTATACTGGGAGCCACTGAGGTGTTTGACTATACTGGGAGCCACTGAGGTGTAGCTGCTAAACGATCCATATATATATGTAAATATATATATAGAGAGAGAGGGAGAGAGAGGGGGGGGGGGTGTGTGGTTCATCATCACCATCATTATAAACCACTTCTGCTGTTAAGCGTCGTGGGGAGGAATAATGTGCAACCAATGCACACTGGCTGCCAGTGGCTTTTGTCATGCTGTGAAGACGTAGTGTGTCTTTAATGTTGTCGATCTTTATTTCACGACCGTCCTCTTGCTGTTGTGGTTGATCTACTGAGAGATGAAGTGCTTGTGATGGTATCTGATCTTGCTGCATTCTTGCTGCATTCTAACGAGATGGCCAAACTACTTGATCTGCTGTGTGGTTTGAAAATAAAAATAAAAATATTAAAAAAAAAAAATCAGAGAATTCAAACCTTGGAGAAGTCGTTCCGGACATTCCTGTATTGTCGGGGTAAAAACTGGATCAGTTTCATCATGGTCCGCCAGAAGAGATAGTTCACTTTGACTCTAAGGATGTATAAAACAGAGCCATGTATGGTTAGTAATCTCGCCCTACGACGTGGAAGGTGGCTATTGTTATGACAATCGACGTCACCCTACACTGGGTATTTACATGCGGGCTCACTCAAGTCTTCTGTTGCAGCAGTCGCTCCTGGGTACCTCAACTGGCTGTTCTAATAAATGTTTAATGTTGAATTAGGAATCAACATATTTGCATTTTTGGGATCCACATGTGCAGAGGAATAAAGAAAGACACACACAAAACACACACAAATGCAAAATGAAGATAGAGAGTAAAGTTTATAAAAGGTAGGGAGAACATGGTAATGCTGCATGAGATAGCGAAGGACAGAATGACTTCGCGTAAGCTGATTGAAGGCCTATACTCCACTGGGGACTATAAAGACAGAAGAAGAAGAATGGACGTCTCAGTACTCGGGGCTTTTCCATAAGCGCTCCGTCCCCATCGTCAGCAGCAAGCACAGTTACAGTTTCGATGGTACTAGCGACAGTGTGATTGTATAACTGTCTCGCCCTTCCCTTGAGTATTGAGCGTTAGCCAGATCCCCTGGTAACTGGGTCATGATGATCTTTTTTGCGAATCCGAGCTATTCGCTCGCTCGCTAAGATCCCTTCGAACTTCTAGCTTGTAATGCATCAATTCACCAACAACGTGGTGTTCCCATGAGAAGTTGGCAATAACGTCTTTCATGGCTCCCAACAACGTGGTGTTCCCATGAGAAGTTGGCAATAACGTCTTTCATGGCTCCCCCCCCCCCACCCTAGAAAAGAAAAGGTGCCGGTGCTAACTACAAAGTGTCTATTACAGCAGCGTTAACAAAATGATGCATACAATATGTGCTCGTACGGCGCACAACCAGAAACGAAGAGCTTCGGTGTCTCATGTTTTGACCTCAACAGATGATATAGTAGACGGTGTGTTCCAAGCATTAAAATAAACTCCATTACTGCATGTGTATACCATTTTTGCCACCCCCCCCCCCCCACAACAAATAGGGCAATAAAAAAATATTCTTCTGACTTCGAAGGATACATCCTATAAGTGGACTCCTGCGACACGCTTGCTGGGTAGGCAGTTGGTCTATTCTTTTTTTCACTATAACAGGACCCCGGAAACACAGCGGGACTATTGTGCAACCAACATCGCGCAATGTTATATTTTTTCCCCTTGGCTGTAAATATATCCTTCCAGAATATGTTTAAAATCAGCGATATATTTTGTACACTTACTACAGCCTCCATCTGTTGTCCGCACTGCTCAAGAACTTTCCGGGCTCATAATGGATTAATCAGCCACCTTCTTATTCATAATCATTTGGATGAAAGTAGTCTTCATCATCCGTGATGGACGAACAACATATAATTTGTGACAAAAAGAAGAAACCGAAAAAAAATGCAAACCTTTTCGGAACACTGGAATACAGTTTAGCAAATCTGTCGAAGTAGGGAAAAGCACAGACAACGATCTTCTCTGTCTGGTTGATCTTTTTGTCCACTTGGGAAAATATCTTCTGGAGATAATCTAGCCATTCAAACTAAAGATTTGAAAAAAAAAAAAATACACATTTGAGCATGTCACTTTTACTATTACTATCACCACTATCATCATCACTACCATCATCCCATGATTATCATCATCACCACTACCACTACCCCTAACATTGTCATCATTCTTCTTCTTCTGCCTTTTATCCCCCCGGTGAAGAATAGGCCCTCAACCACCTCACGCCAGGTCGTTCTATTCTTCATTATCGCATGCAGCTCTGTCTATGCCCGCCCCAACTCCCATCTTTTTAACTTCACTCTTCTTTGGCTCCCTTCTCCGTGTGTGTGTGTGTCTGTGTGTGTGTGTGTGTGTGTGTGTGTGTGTGTGTCTGTGTGTGTGTGTGTCTCTCTCTCTGTGTGTGTGTGTGTGTCTGTGTGTGTGTGTGTGTGTGTGTGTCTGTGTGTGTGTGTGTGTGTGTGTGTGTGTGTGTCTCTGTGTGTGTGTGTGTGTCTCTCTCTCTCTGTGTGTGTGTGTGTGTGTGTGTGTGTGTCTCTGTGTGTGTGTGTGTCTCTCTGTGTGTGTGTGTGTGTGTGTGTGTGTGTGTGTGTTTTATGCATTTATTTATACTCCTCTATGGGTTCCAGTGAAAAGACATTCTGGTTATATTGTTCTCAGGTATTTTCAGCGTGTGTCCTATTCAGCGCCAGCGTCTTTTCTTCACCTCTTGCTCCACTGGAACTTTAGTTCTCTTCCAAAGCTGAACAATAGTAATTCTGTCACATCATTTAAGTCCCTTTGTTCTGCGTAGGCGCCAGTTAATGAATGTTTGCAGTTTATTAATGTTTCAGTTATTATCCATGTTTCCGCGCTACTACTACAGTACCTATTTGACAAAAGAGTCAAAAAGCTGTTTAGTGTTAGTTTTATCTCTTTTTGACCTCCACAAATTTCCTAGTGCTATGAAAGACCTCCTGTCCTATGTATTCGTATTTTAATACATCTATCAGTTTCCCAATCTTTATCTAACTAAATGCCCAAATAGGTTTATGACTCTACATTAATTCTTACTTATCGTCCTATTTAGGACGAAATTTTTCGTTATTTGAAGCCATACTCTGGCTCTTGTCAGGGGCTGCAATATAGCCTGGCCATAAATATGGTCTGAACGCAGTTTCTGGGACCTCTCCACGGTGATCCTCACCCGCATGGTGGCACTTTGTGTCATCGGGTGTTTATCGCTTGTGTGATGTCCTGGTGGGGTAGAAAGTCAGTCAGCCGTATGACTCCACTTATTCAGTCGTCCCCATGTGAAATGCAATTTTCCATTATTTGAAGCCAAGGGTCCTAAATATAGCCAGGCCCTAAACATGGCCTAACGGTTGAATGGGGTTTCCGGGACCTCTCCACGGGTGATCCTCATCCGCATGGTAGCACTTTGTGTCACCGGGTGTTTATCACTATGTGTGATGTCCTGGTGGGGTAAATTCACTTACTTACTTATGACTCCACATCTTGGAGTGAGACACCGTTAAGACACACTACTATTTGCCTGGTTAATTCTCGTTATCTTTGCCTTTCCCTTGTGCATTTTTTTTATACCTAATGGTTGTGATCTCGAATCAAGTATATTTAATACATCCTGAGTCTGATTCCGAGAGGGGGCTAAAAGATAAATATCCACGAAGTCAAAATCATCAAGCTGTTTTGAAGGGGTTCATTGAATTCCACTCCTGGTGTTAGCGTTTGCTGTTTCCATAACCCAGCTTATAGACGGGCACTGTTAACACCATCGTTGTATTCGTCAATACTGTCATCAGTAGCTTATTACTTTCACCATTACTATTATCATCTTCATTACCATGAAACTCATAATCATTGTCGTCGTCACCACTATTATCGCCAACACTATCACCACCTGCATCACCCCAATCATGGTCACCATCACTACCATCATCAATGTTATATCATGATCACCGTCATTACCATCATCCAGTTTATATGATGATCACCATCACTACCATTATCAATGTAATATCATGATCACCATCACTACAATTATCAATGTAATATCAAGATCACCATCACTACCATCATCAATGTTATATCATGATCACCATCACTACAATCATCAATGAAATATCATGATCACCATCACTACAATCATCAATGTTATATCATGATCACCATCACTACAATCATCAATGTTATATCATGATCACCATCACTACAATCATGATTGTTATATCATGATCACCATCACTACCATCATCAATGTTATATCATGATCACCATCATTACCATCATCAATGTTATATCATGATCACCATCATTACCATTATCAATGTTATATCATGATCACCATCATTACAATTATCAATGTTATATATATCATGATCCCCATCATTACCATCATCAATGTTATATCATGATCCCCATCATTACCATTATCAATGTTATATCATGATCACCATCATTACAATTATCAATGTTATATCATGATCACCATCATTACAATTATCAATGTTATATCATGATCACCATCATTACAATTATCAATGTTATATCATGATCACCATCATTACAATTATCAATGTTATATATATATCATGATCACCATCATTACCATTATCAATGTTATATCATGATCACCATCATTACAATTATCAATGTTATATCATGATCACCATCATTACAATTATCAATGTTATATCATGATCACCATCATTACAATTATCAATGTTATATATCATGATCACCATCATTACCATTATCAATGTTATATCATGATCACCATCACCACAATCATTATCACCACTATCATCATCATCGTCGTCAGCATTATCAACCTCATTGTTAATATGGGTAGCATCATTATCCTCAAGCGTTCGGCCCCTGGGCCAATGATAAGGCTTCCTTCTCACTTGTCCATGGTTTTCTGTATGGTGCCACCGATCTCTAGAATTCCTTGGGTGTCTTCATTGGAGATCCTGGCTGGCGCATTGGCTAACCAGCCTACTTAATGGCCCGGTGGGTGTACGCTTGAATTCATGTCTCGTCATTTACATTCTTTCATCTTTTACACTATCTCAGCATTGACACTCTGTCACTATTAACACTGTTTCATCACTGGCACTCTGTCACTATTAACACTGTTTCATCATTGACACTCTGTCACCATTAACACTGTTTCATCATTGACACTCTGTCACCATTAACACTGTTTCATCATTGACACTCTGTCACTATTAACACTGTTTCATCATTGACACTCTGTCACCATTAACACTGTTTCATCATTGACACTCTGTCACTATTAACACTGTTTCATCATTGACACTCTGTCACTATTAACACTGTTTCATCATTGACACTCTGTCACTATTAACACTGTTTCATCATTGACACTCTGTCACCATTAACACTGTTTCATCATTGACACCCTGTCACTATTAACACTGTTTCATCATTGACACTCTGTCACCATTAACACTGTTTCATCATTGACACCCTGTCACCATTAACACTGTTTCAACATTGACACTGCGTCACCATTTACACTGTCTTGTCACTGACACTTTGTCATCATTTACACTGTCTCATCATTAGCACTCAGTCACCATTTACATTGTCTAATAATTTACACTAGTAACTATTTACACTGTTTATTTATTTACATTCCGTCGTCATTTACTTCCTGTCAAGATTTACATTCTATCATAATTTATTTTCTGACATTATTAACACGCCGTCACCATTTACATTGTCGCATCGTTTACAGTATGTCACCATTTACATCATGATCACCATCATTACCATTATCAATGTAAATACCATTTAGAATAGCACTGGCATCTAGTGCCTTCAATAAACTGTCCAACATCTGGAAATCATAGAAACTTAGCAAACACACAAAACTCAAGATCTTCAATTCTTGTGTGATTCCAGTACTAACCTATGGATGCGAGAGCTGGAAATCAACGCAAACTCTAGACACAAAATTAGACAGTTTTGAAAATAAATGCCTTAGAAGAATACTAAATTTCAAATGGTCAGATTTCCGAATCAATACACAAATAAGGCAAGAATCCAGGCAAGAGTATGTGTCTAATTTTATACGAAAACGCCGCTGGAACTATGTCGGCCACGCCCTTAGAATGAATAAATCAAGACTTCCTTACCAAGCCCTCATTTGGACACCACAGGGGAAAAGATCTCGTGGAAGACCAAGGGAAACCCTACGTAGAACTATCATCAAGGAAGGCTCGCTCATGGGCCACTCAAACATCCAAGACCTACAACAGATTGCAACGAACCGCCATGCATGGAGAGTCATGACCTCTGCCCTATGTGCCGCACTCGAGATAAGAGAAAAGACTAACTAACCATTTACATTACGTCATCATCTGATTTCTGTTTTCATTTTCATTTGTAAATTTACATCGGCTCATGATTTACTGTTAGTCATAATTCACATTCAGATGTTTACTGCACAAGGATAATCACTCACCCCAGGAACCTTCTCTGAGAACTCTAGGATTGTCTTCTTATTGTACATCTCCTCGCTGTCTCTACGTTCTTCTTTGGGGATGATTATCTGCGGAACAATGCCTTCTTGGTAATAAGTGGTTCTTTCGACAAAGTAAAGGACCCCTTTTTTATGCCATTCTTCTTCTTCTTCTTCTCTCGTTCGCTTGAAATAGATTATCTATATCTGCAATGTTGCCTCTAGTATGAACGTCACTGTCTTTTGTAATTCACTCAGCGATCCGTAACGTTTGACTTGCACTGATGTTTCTCTTGGCCAAAAGTTTTGCCTTGATATGTTGTATTTGGGACAGTCTTGGAGGACATGATCTGTTGTCTCAGGTGCCAGTCAACACGTGCACATGGCTGATTCGCCTATTTTAAATTGTGTGTACTTGTGGCTGCGAAGTCGATTGTGTCCTGTTCTAAGGTGTAGAATAATAACTTGCTCTGATCTGTCCATAGAATGTCAATCGTCTGGTGCCGGTTTTGGTGTCTTTCTGATTGATTTGATTATTCTCTTTTTTCTGTTGAGAAGAGACTGGTACGTCAGGTTGCTCTTCATTTGCACCTTCCTTAGCTAGTTTATCAACTCTTTCATTTCCAGGAACTCCACAGTGGGATGGTTTTACGCCATTAACTCTTTGCGTTCTCGAGGGTTTAGCATCACAGGTCCAAGGGGTAGTCAAGAGACGTAAAATCGGCGCATTATGCGTATATTGAGCTTGTAGGCAGTAACCTATGAAAGTATGATGCTTTCCATGGGACTCAAAGAGTTAATGCCACGGTGAGTAACGTTGTAAAGAGGGGGGGGGGGTGGAGGACATGGGGGTAACATGGGGGGGAGGACATGGGGGGGGGGAGGACATGGGGTCAGCTGCATGGGATAGCAAAGGACAGAACGACTTGGCACGAGTTGGTTAGGGCCTATGCTCCATTGGGGGCTAGAAAGGCAGAAGAAAGAAGAATTCCTCGGTCGTATAACACTTCACCCAGTCTTTTCACAAACCAATCGGAACTCGATATGTGACAAGGTCAAGATTATGCCGGCTGCCTTTATTTCCAGAGGGTGCTGCGTGGTCTCGAGGCATGGTATCCGCCTCGAGTGCTAGAGGTTGCGGGTTTAATCCTCGGTAAGGGCTGGGATTTTTTAACGTGGACTTGACTTCTAGTAATTCCCCCCTAGTCTTTGTATTGTTGGGCACGTTAAAAAATCCCTTGGCAGTTTGCCTAATTTCGCTACTTGGGAAAAAATGTATAGTTAAAAATCTACGCCACGTATTTCAGGATCTTCCTAGGTGCTACAGAGCCTGTGTATTGTGCTAAGTTTCTTCGGACTCCAAACTTGAGTTAGAAGAAGAACGGAGCACGTATGGGTTACTATCGTGGACCATGATGTTGGTCCGTTGAATAAACATAAACATCAAGCGTGTTTCCACATAGAGGCGCACACGCCATTTGAAGGTGACAGGTTCGATTCCCGGCACAGCTTTCGATTTTTAAGTTGTCTGCTGTGTCCTTTTATCTTTCTACCTCTTTCTATTTGTGCCTATGTATGTAATATTCACAGGGCCTCAGCGGTTTATTTAGGTTTCAAGCGTAGTATGCACGTAGGGCTGGACGTATATGTACGTTACAGACCAATCAGCACTCGGTGTGTGATGTGGTCAACATCCCGTCTGCCGCCTTTACTTCCCAGGACCTCACCTGGTACCCACTGAAGGATGGGTCAACCTGGTCATTTCTAGGGGGGGGGGAAATAGTTGTGCTCCTTCAAGATCTGAACCTTGACCTTCGCATTCCACCTGCGAGCAAGCTTCAAAATGAACGCTAGGCACGGTCACTGTTTTGAGTCGTGGCAAATTGTTTGCTTCTGCCAGATGGTGGCCTTTGCATTTTTTCTCCATTTGTAGACTGAAAGGATATAGTTTCGTCGTCCAGCTTCTGAGTTGAGTACATAGCATGACACTGTGAGCTGCAGATTTAATTTGGAATGTTGTTTGACTGTGACTAACGTGGTGGTGTGAAGTGAAGATTCAGAAAAATATCGCTATGCATGTTGTTGCAATATTCGTGTTGCCATTATGTGATTAAAAGTGATCGCGTGAGCAAATGCTGATTTGTTGGTGACTTCTGCTACCATCAATGATGAACTGTATTTTTTATTCCAGACTGTTTGTGTTAACACTTCGGATGGCTACTGACTGTGATAAACCTTCTGTGTGTTTTTTATTGGCACAGGAGCGGAGCAACTATGGGTGACCCGTTTGCTATGGAGCTGAAACAAAGGTTACCAGGATTACTGCTAGCGTCCAGCAACTCACAACGGGCGCTTCCCCTGTAGAAAGAAAGAGTTAAAGAAATTCTTGGTGCTTTGAAAAAAAACTTACCTTAGCCAGCTCAATTTCAAAATTCACCATATCCTCAATATCTTTCGCTGCCACGCCTGTCTGAGCACCCAGCATAACGGCAACATCCTGGGCAAACTTTTTATAGGCTTCCAGCTTGCTCGCGGCCTCCGAGTGCAGGAAGTAATCCGCCGACGGCATCCCCAAATCCGGCTGGTCGAGCTGTGGATGAGAAAAGGTATTCAGATCTTAGAATTTCAGTGATTGTCTAGTTATTTCCGTTTCACTTACAATCTAGTGGCTTCTGTTTCACTTACAGTCTGGTGGTTTCCGTTACTGTCTGGTGGCTTCTGGTTTTACCCTTTCACTAACAGTCTGGTGGTTTCCGTTTCAGTTACTGTCTGGTGGTTGTTTCTGTTACTGTCTTCTAGCTTCCGTTTCATTTACAGTCTGGGGGCTTCCGTTTCAGTTAATGTTTTTGGTTTCCGTTTTAGTTACTGTCTGGTGGTTGTTTCTGTTACTGTCTGCTAGCTTCCGTTTCATTTACAGTCTGGTGGCTTCCGATTCAGTTAATGTCTTGTGGTTTCCGTTTTAGTTACTGTCTGGTGGTTTCCGTTTCACTTACATTCTAGTGGCTTCTGTTTCACTCACAGTCTGGTGGCTTCCGATTCAGTTGCAGTCTGGTGGTTTCCGTTTCCTTTACAGTCTGGTGGCTTCCGTTTCACATGCAATCTGGTGGCTTCCGTTTCACATGTAATCTGGTAGCTTCCGTTTCAACTATAGACTGGTGGCTTCCGTTTCAGTTAATTTCTGATGGTTTCCACTTTAACTACTGTCTGCTGGTTTCCGTTTCACTGGTGGCTTACGTTTCACTTACAGTCTGGTGGCTTCCATTTCAACTACAGTCTAGTGGTTTCCGTTTTAGTTACTGTCTGGTGGTTTCTGTTTGAACTACAGTCTGGTGCTTTACGTTCTTCCCCTCTCTGGTGGTTTCCGTTTCACTAACTGTCTAGTGGCTTTTGTTTCAACTACAGTCTGGTGGTTTCTGTTTCAGTTACGACCTGGTAGTTTCCCTTTCAACTACAGTCTGGTGGCTTCCATTTCAACTACAGTCTGGTGGTTTCCGTTTCACTTACAGTCTGGTGGTTTCCGTTACACTTACAGTCTGGTATGCATGCATACATACATACATACATACATACATACATACATACATACATACATACA